TATAGGTGAGGAAAGTTTAAAGTATGATGAGAGAAAGCTGCTGATCCTCTTGATCTGACTTTGTACTGCTGGTGTTGCTGTAGAGAAAGTTTCTCCTGTTCGGCCTCGTACCGCTACAGATGTACTTTTTTTTTTTTGTTTATTTGTTTTTGCTTTTCTTCCAATTCCGTTCATGTCATCGCTTTTCCAGTTCCGTTCAAATATGTCATTCCACTTTCCTGTTATCTTTTTCATTAGCCCTCTGGCTCACAAGCCCCCAACCCCCCAACCTCCGCCACTTTCAGCTCTGCTATGATTAATAGGTATAGTTATCAAATCAATAGAGCATTTGTAGAAACCCTACAGTGAATAGATTAAATGTTCTCTGTGCCACCAGCTCACTTCAGGTGACCAGAGGGAGTTATAAGGTTTGAGAACGTTTTAGTGTGAATTTTAAATGACTGTGTTCATATTTAAGGTGTCTCAGTTAGCACACAAAACAAGGTGCTTACTTTTTAAATACAGACTTTTTTTTTTCCAATATGTGCATGTGCTTCTGCCACCACTTTGTGTTAAACAGCTGGTCCCATCTCCCTAAAAACTATTTTCCTCAGCTTTTCTGTCCTCTGCACATCTGTTTGCGTATGCTACTTGATGTGCAAGTTGGAGTGTTGGTACACCTGCACAGGTGCGGAAACAGTTTTTCAAAAGGAAGCATCAGCAGAAAAGGTGATATCACTGAAAAGGTTAAGAGCAATTGCGAGAAAAGAGGATTCAGGTGACTTGCAAATTTGGCATTCTAGATTAGTTTCTAAGTGCACAGTTTTTGGGACACCTTTAGAGGGACTGCGAACAGACCTTGAACTGTTTACAAATTCTGCATAACAGCCATAGGAGCAGACTGACTGCCATTGCCAGCTGGTATTCAACTCACATCTTGTGTCACCCTGAGCTTGAACAGGATTTCAGCTATGGCTTGGCAGCACCGCAACCTCCCTACTCTCATCAGTGTAACTTGGCCGCTCCTGTCAAGCTGGAAAAGAGGAGTTGGGGAAATAAAAAAAAGAAAGAAAGATACATCAGCCACAGATAGTTGAAGGTGGTGGGGATGAAACTACTCTATTTTGTCCATTAGGGTAGTTGATTTAGAGATTTTAGAGAGTATTTATTGAGTGGCTTTGGCAGGAGTTGGAGATGAAAGAATTCGGAAAGTGTTAGACTAGATCTTAGGAGGTTTTCATTTGTTTAACCCTCAAGTGAAAGGATAGGTCACTGTGATACTTGTTAGGCTGTTTCACAGGTCAGACGGTAATGTCAATGACTGAGCTAAGGAAAAAAATATTTGAAAATGTGAACCATGTAATAACCAGTAGGTTACAACTGCAGCTTGTTCGTTGTATCAGTTAATGCAGGTTGAAATTGAGGTCTTGATCTGTGTCGTTAGACGAAGACACTGTCTGCTCCGACCTGCAGTCCCTTTTGGAGGTCAGGGGTTTCTAAATACAGGCACGTCTAGTTTTAAATCCTCTACTGGGTCGCTTTGATTGAAGAAATGGGCCAAGTTTGTTTGTTGGCTTGTGGTCTGAAATTTGTAACAGGTCATGTGTTGCTAAGGTTGTTCTTGTAGGGCAGCCTCTAACTACCCTGAGGATTTGTGCAGAAGCCTTGGAGTAAATTGCTTGAATTGGTGTTTGTGAAGGCTCAGACCACCACATTCACATAAACTGCCTATCCAAAAAAAAGTGAAACGCTAATATTTTGTAATTTTTTATTACAGCACAAATTCACTGTGGCATTATTTTGGTGAGTTTATACAATTGTGCAATGCTTACGTCAGTCCAGAATTGAATTATCTTTTGTGAAGGATTTGTGTTGGCAAAGGGAGAATCAGAGAAAAAGTAAAATCCTCTTCAGCTTAATGATTTCCAGTAGGGATAACATCTGTAGTTCCCGGTCTGTGTGAGACAAAATGATGGCTCTTGCTTCCTGAACAATTTGAGTTTGATGATTCTATTGTTGTCTTGCAAAATGCCCGTTTTAAGGGTTTGTGGAGAAATGTTGCTGAATGTTGAAATTAAGCATACCCAGAACATTGTTTACTTCACAAGCTTGTCTGGTACAACCAAAACATGATGAATCCATGATCCGATACACCATACTTTATGTTCCTGTCATTTTGAAAAAGAGGAAAACCTATACTCCAAGTACAGTACATCAACTTTTTTGTTTTGACTTAAAATCAATTCTTGAGCTCCTACACTGCCCCAAAATATTTTGAATGTGTTCAGCATAATGGTATTTTTCCAGTTATGTAACTGTCAACAATGGTGTACCACAAGACTCAGTCTTGGGAGCTACTCTCTTTACAATCTACATAAGTAATGTTGGTCAGCTCCTTCCTGATACATCCTTACATCTCTATGCCGACAATGCAGTAGTTTACTGTCGAGCTCAATCAGTTGCTAAGGTTTTCCAGCTTTTACAGTCTGCATTTAACAACATTCAGACTTGTTCCGTCTCAAACTGGTGCTAAACGCTGAAAAAAAATACTAAGGGGTGTTGTTTTCAAACAGGAAGTTGGTACCAGCAGTCCTTCCTTCTATCTTACCTACAAAGTCATCCATCCATCCATCCATTATCTTTACCCGCTTATTCCATTTTGGGTCACGGGGGTCGCTGGTGCCCATGTCCAGCAATCACTGTGCGAGGGGCGGGGTACACCCTGGACGGGTCGCAAGTCCATCACAGGGCCACATAGAGACAAACGAGACAAACAACCATTCACTCTCTCATTCACTTCTAGGGACAATTTAGAGTTACCAATCAGCTTAACATGCATGTATTTGGTCTGTGGGAGGAAACCGTAGCACCCGGAGAAAACCCACGCATTCACAGAGAGAACATGCAAACTCCACCCAGAAAGGCCCCTGGACCGGGGTTTGAACCAAGGACCTGCTCGCTGAGAGGCAGCAGCTCTACCAGTTGTGCCACCGTGCTGCCCCTACAAAGTCATTCAACCTTTATTTATACAGGTTAATCCCATTGAGCCTCGGGGACTCATTTACAAGAGAGAATGGTGTTCCTATTGAGTTTGTCGATTCTTACAAATACTTGGGAATCGTGGTCGATGCACATCTCTCTTTTAAGCCTCATGTCAAAAACTTGATAAAGAAACCAAAATTAAAATTGGGTTTATTTTTCAGAAATAGATCTAGTTTAACTGTGAATGCCAGGAAACACCTTGTAACTGTTACTTTCCTTCCAGCCATCGACTGTGGTGACATTATTTACATGAATGTTCCTGCAAGCACCTTGCAAATGTTGGATGCTGTCTACCACGGTGCGCTAAGATTCATAACTGGCTGTAACTACTGTACCCATCACTGCACCCTGTAGTCACTGGTCAACTGGACATCATTAACTTCACGCAGGCTCTCACACTGGTACATTTTCATCTTTAAATCACTCCTTGGTCTGCTGCTTTCATATTTCTCCTCCTACATGTCACGTTGTCAGTGCAGCTACAGCGTGCGCTCCCAAGACATCATTACCTGCAGCGTCCCCTCAGTGAAGACTGAATTTGGCAAAAGAGCCTTTTCTTACTCTGCTCCTGGAACACCTTGAAAAAAGATCTGAAGCTGCCCACTTTGATCTCTCTAAGGGATTTTAAACATTTAAATTCAATGCAAAAACCAATGCAGACATGTTGTTGTTCTTAGTATTTTACCTGTTTCATAATGTAGCTTGTTTTTATTTTGTTTTAATATCGCTACTTTTATTTACCTTTCTTTTCATATGCTTTTTATGACTGTTTATTGTTGTGTGTACGTCGTGTGTTTTTGTTTAAAACATGTCTCACTTGAAAATGAGTCCTTGTGACTCAATGAGACTAACCTGTATAAAAAAGGTTGAAAGAATGAATGTCTTGTATGTATTATTTATTTTTCACCATTGTGAACGTTGCTTTAAATTCTACTATGAATTTTTATTTTACAAAAATGTAAAGCCATCTCGGAAAATGATTTTTTTTTTAATTATTTAATTGAGCTGAAGAGCTTTCATCACAGTTTTATTAGTTTTAACACTTTCTTTGGCTGTTTTGTTTTCTTGATTTTGATGCTTCAGAAATAGTACCATCTTCTTTCTTCATCAGTTTCATCTATTTTTAGCTGAAATTTAATAATCTGCAGAAATACTCCAACGGGAGGATTTTGTCTATTTGCTTGGATAAATCCAGGTGATTATTTTTATTTTTATTTTTCCAGGGTGTATAATTAAATCACTCAAGACAACTGAAACTCGCCCCTACATCAGCTTCTCAGCTCTTATGGCAATGGCATATTTACTCTTCTACTGTGGTAAAGCTGCCCCCAAAGGGTTTTAAGTCAATATCTCACTGTAAGTGTTTGCTCTTGTGAAGAAGTTATCTTTAGTGGCAGCAAATGATTTTAAGATCAGCATCTAGCCGTCTTCCTTTTCCTGGCCTAATTAGAAAATAATCAAATAACAGGCTTTCTTTTCCTGTGCGCACATCGTATTAGCACAGCGTTGCGGTTCCTCTGCTGGCACAACTGTTAATACGTGTGCCGTGTCTTTACTGCACTGTCTTTATTACATGTTGAGTTCGCCAGGCTGGTAGAATAGTGTGCATAATCACACATGTACGTGTAATTTTCCACCATAAAGACAAAACATTAATCAGTTCTGCTTGAGGTGGTAATGAGTGAGGGTGTTATTGCTGATGTGTATACAGCTTGTAACTGCACGTGTCTCTGTGTTTTCACATCTCCGTGCATTTGACAACATGTTTGCAGCAGTTGATCAAGACATTTGGTCTCGTTTACCTGAGACAAGCAGACTTTTAATTGATTCCTATGAACTACAGTTTCGTGTAGCCGTCTTAGTTTGGCTACATGCTTGTCTATTTTTCCCTTTTTTTATTATTGTTTGTTTGTTTTCCACTTTAGCATCTGTATGCTGAAAAATACGTGTATTTACAGCATTTTTTTTTCTTTCCTCAGGCTATCCTAATGAGCCTGCAGCAGATGTTGCTCTGAACACCGTAAAGAAGTGGATTGAAGACAACCCAGATGAGGTAAGACGAACCAATATGATACATGTCTGACATCAAACCGTCCCAGTCACTTGTCCATTTGAGAAGGAATTGTCGGTTTTGTACTTTAGTTAATTTCCTTTAAGTGGAAATTATTGAAGCAGAGCTAAAACACATAACTTTAATTGTCAGGGATCTCTGTAACAGACAGATATCGTGTCCGCCTGGATTGCTTGATCAGCAAATTGAGACCTGCTGCTTCTCAAATTGGAAAGTAGTCTGAGACTAATCAGGCTGTAATGGACCGATCTGTTGACTGTTGGTGTTTGCTGGAGAGTGCTATAAGAGCTAGAACAATATCACATAACAGCTGAAGGAACAGCAGCTTGGTTTTTTTTTTTGGTTTATATACTTTATGTATGCCAAGGATTCAAGGCTGCAGTCACCAGAGGTTCATGAGATGATTTCATTTAAACCACAACGTATGGTTTAGTAAAAATTATACGTAAACTTGTCTTTTAAAAAATGGCATAACATAGCAATGACCTCCAGTTTTAGCCTTAGCATTTTATATTTTATCTAAATCACATATTGGTCTAAAATTAATTTAAAAAAATGTAATATATAAATAGATAAGCTGTTCGATGAAGTTCATGCAGGACTCTTTAAAATGTTTGTTTTTTAATTTGTGTGTTATTAGCAGAAACACCCGATCCATTCTGCTCGGCCTTGATGTCAAGTTTGAACTGATTATCAAGTGAAAAATGTTGCGTTACTAATTTTATGGTGTCAACACTCTCATGTGTTACAATCCCATAATGTGTTTGTCACTAATTACCAGGGTCAAACTCCAGGAGAAACAAAATTAAAGAAAATTAATTGTGTGAATGCTGATTGAGTATGCTCTTTGACAAGAAGGGTGCTATGACTTTTGATATTGGTGTAACTTTAGCTGTTTGAAAGGTTTAGCCTTTTCTGCTACTTTTTTTCCTCATAGAAAATGAATTGAGCTCATTTAATATCCTTCACATCTTTAGATCTGTTTACAACCTTTTTACTGTTCCTTTAACGTTTTGTTCTCGTTCAGCTTCTTTCAGCTACTTTTTTTTTTTCTTTCGGCTGCTCCCTGCGTTAGGGGTCGCCACAGCGAACTAGGTCGCACAAAAGCTTGGCAGTTATTTTTACGCAGGATGCCCTTCCTGAAGCAACCACGGACCACCGAGCTACCACAGCTCTCTGTGTGGAGCAGAGAGCTTCTTTCAGCTACCTTATGCTAATTTAAAAAAAAAAAATCCAGCTACTTTCACCAAATTCCAACTGATTTTTCAGCTTTTTTGGAGCTGCTTTCTGCTTTATTCTGCTAACTACAACATTTTTTATACTTCTTCTAACTTCCTAATGCTAATTTTAGCTTTTTATGTACCTTTCAGCTTATTCCTACAAGTTATTTTTTCCTGTCATTTCAGCTACTAGTGGGTATTTAGCTGTTTTTATGCTAATTTGAGTTTTTTCAGCTAATTCTGTTTGTTCTGCATTCATTTAAATTTTTTCAGCCTAATTCAGCAAAAAAAAAAAAGTGCTCTCTCCACTTCCTTCTTGTAATTTCAGCTTATTTCTGCCTTTTTAGCTCTTATTCAGCTGTTTTTTGCAAATGTCAGATTTTTTTCAGGTAATTTCCACGTTTTGCGCTAATTTCTGCTTCTTTCAGCGTAATTGGACAATTGTGCTCTCTCCACTTCCTTTCAGTAATTTAAGCTTCGTTCTGCCTTTTTTTAGCTGCTATTCAGCTGTTATTTTGCTAATTTCTGCTTTTTTCAGATTAATTCCAATTTTTGTGCTCATTTCTGCTTCTTTCAGCTTAATTGGGCAAACATCTGTTCTTTCTGATTTTTTCTGCTATTGTAAGCTTGTTCTTACTTTTCATGTACTGTTTTAGCATTTATTAGCTAATTTCTGATATTTTCATATAAATTCAAGGTTTTTTTTGTGATAATTTCTGCTAATTTCAGCCTATCTAACTTATTTCTGCTCCTTTCAGCTTTTTCTGCTTATTTGAAACCTTTGTGTGCGTTTTCAGTTACTTTTCAGCTATAGTTGCTAATTTGAGCTTTTTCTTTTAGCTAATTTCAGCTATTATCTGCAAATCCTTCCGCAATAAGCATCCACGCTGCATTTTTGCAGGAAATTCAATTTCTCTATTTGTCACACATGTAATTGTGACTTTGAGGCTTTTCGAGTAACATAACTGTTCAGCTTTATGTGGAATGAATTTACCAGCTTGATCTATTTTGAAGTCGTGACGACAGCGTTGTGTCGCATCGTCATGAGGTACTTTGAGTCTTTATGGAGCATTTATCAGTCGGCGAGTGTGAGTCATGGCAACCTTCAGGGGTCATCTCTATTTACTGAAGCCCTGTTTATATCTGTCGCTGTGGATTGAGGTGTTTTATAAAACTCACAGTTTGATGTTGTGCAGCATCCCTCGGCTGGTGTTATGAACGTTGTGAGCGGTCGGCCAAGTGATACAGAGTTGTTCGATTACTTTTCAGCTGATGAGGTGTTTGTGGCACTTGTTCCCTGCCTGATGATTCCTGTAGCATCTAGTTGTGGAATCCATCAACTCTGTAGCATGAAGTAGGTTTCATATGCCTTATTGCCGACTGTAAATAAAAAGGTAATGTGCAGAGCTGACTTTTGTGCCGGCGTTGTTCCACATTTGAAATTGCCACTCGATGCGCAGTTGATCAAAGGACAGTTTTGTATTGCTCTGACTGTTAGATGCTCTGCTGTGAGCAAGTCGGGCAAAACGTTTTACAATTCATGAAGTGGGAAAGAAGGCTGTGGACGCTTGCCTGAACGCTGTTTGGTAAAGCTCTGCGAGCATACGCGGTGAATCCCAAACTCTTAAGTCGACCAGGTGAGTAAGCTTTTAACGAGATCAGAGAGAATAAAGGGAAACATTTTACCCAGAAGCGCAGCAGTGTTTTCCTTACACGGGAAAGTCTTCCAATCCAACCACAGAGCAACATGCGTAAGAACAGGAGGTCTTCTCTCCTATTTTCAGTTCATAAATCATTACTCGATCTCTTGTTTTTAATGAGGCGTTCTTTAAAATATTTTTAAAGGATACATCCCTTAAGAAATAACTTTTTTTTTTGTTGGTATCCAAGTGAAATGTTCAAGCTGAATGCAGATAAATGTGCATTTTTTGTAACGCCTGAATGAACTGCCTGAATGGATATTTGTGTTGGCAATTTGCTGCACATGAAATTTGAAAATGACAACCTCTGGCTTTGTCTGATGTGTTTAGAAATGCAATTTATCACTGCAGCGTTCGCTCGATTGACACTCCCAGTGTCAGCAGTGATTGATAACTGGCACAGTTCTATTTTAGGCACCATCGTGTCGTGAAAAAATTATGAGCTGACAGTTGTTTATCACACAGAGCTTACAGTCAATAAAAAAAATCAGTATATAAGCAGCTGAATGTGTACAGTATTGTGAACGTTATTTTTTTGTACATCGTTTTATTCGTTTTTCTCAGTAAAATCACTAGGCGGTGTTAAAAACACAAAAACAAATGTGCAGTGTTACAGTCACTTAGGTCACAAATTACACAGTTCTTTTAAAGATGCAGTGAAAATGAGGAGTTTGGGAGCCAGTTTGTCATGCGTGGTACAAAAGGACCAGATTGCTCTGCTCCCTCACCTCGAGCTGTACGCATTCACATCCAAAGCGTCTGTGTTGTGGGCGTCCTCAGAGACGAGTCATTTCAGGGCCATGATAAGGGGTCTGCTCGGGGAAGATACTGAGCTATTGTGGCTGAATTTCAGCACAATGGACTGGCTGTGGATCTAACACGCCGGAGGTAACGGAGCACTGACCAGTCTCTGTTCTCCACAGACTCATTCTGTCCAGCATTATGACTGGCAGGATGTGTGTCTGTGTGAGTGTGTTATCAAGTAAAGAAACATTTAAATCTGGCAGGCCGGTGTCGCACAGACAGCCACTGGTGTAGAGCTATGCACCAATTAAAATGTCTTAACCAGTGGCTCCATAGACTGAGAATATGGTGCTCATGCAAGATGAGGTAAGAAGCTGGGAAGGGGGTAAAAAAAAAAGACTTACTGCAAATACAGTAGTCCTTTGATTATTGCGGGGGGTTACCTTCCACACATACCTGTGATAGGTAAAAAAAAAAAAAATGCAAAGTAGGAACGCTATGCCAAAGTTCATGCTCAGTAATCCAGGTAAAAATCCAACAATGTTCAGTCAAGTCATCTGGACGGCTTCTTTTTATATAGGAATCCATTTTGTATTGGAAGTCTATATTTATTTTAGTATTTATACATATTTGAAGGCTTTATAAACCCTTTCTACACTCTTGCAATATTCTTAACAATGTTCTAAACTCTTAAATCTACATATTTTAACAATATAAGTATATGTACTGTACAGTTCTGCAAAATTTTACTCACCAGCTCTGCAGAACGGCAGCTCGACGGTCCGGCTCAATTCCGGTTCTGCAGACCTACCCTGCGGCGACGAAGCCCACCGCCCCGTCCATTTGATGTGTGCGTGGATGTCTGAGCTTCAAGAAACTTCAGGATTATTTCTGACTTTCCTGCCAGTTCTGTGAGATTAATAGATAGCGTTGATTTGCGTCGCAAAACTTTCCCTCCATTTTGGAAGAGAGCAGAAGCTGGAAGCACAGTTGGCTTCTGGGTAGTGTAGTTCTTTTGACTATCCTTACAGTGTAGCATTATTGAAAGAAAACTACAAAATGGCACCGCCTGTCCGAAGGTTTCTTTTTTATCCTGTATCGTCCCAATCTCCTGAGCAATATTAAAGTTGACAATCGTTGAAAAACTGCAAAAGAGTGAGTTTGCGAAGTTGAACCACGAAGTGGTGAGGGACTACTGTAATTAGCAGAAACTTTAGTGTAGCTGTGATGCACTTAGCACTGCACAAAGAATTTTGATGCAAGCATAAAATCCAGTCTTAACATCACACAGTCTTCCATTGTAAAAGAATAAACAGCC